GCCCGGTTGGTTTTTCGCAAACGCGATTAGCTTCTTATGCGCGTGTCGCGTGGCGGGCGAGAAGTCTTCACTGACCGTTACGTTTGTTGCTTTCAATTTTGTACGCGCGGAAAGTATATTCCCCTTTATTTTATAACTTGAAAATTTGACTATGATAGGACGGCATTTACTCGGCGAGTGGGTACCGAGACGATGAGCCCGTTCGATTACATTGTCAGGTAGGACGTCAAATAGGCATGTTGAAACGCTTTTTATCTTCGCCTCGGACTGTTCCCATGACTCATGAGAATCAGGAATACCCCAAAAAAGCAGGTTGTCTCGCCGTGATTGGTCCTCCAGCTCATCGAGGCGTGATTGCAAAAGGTTCTGCTGAGTGGTCATGGTCTCCACTGAACCATGGAAGCTGGACATATTTTGGCCAAAATCGTCAAAGGCGTTAGTTTTTTCTTCAACGGCATCTAGTCGTTTCTGAATGCAGCCAATTTTGGTTTCAATATTTTTTTGCCAGCCTTAATTGACTTTACGTCCGCAACCAACTCAGCTTGACTCTTTGCAGATTGCACTGACCGCGCGTGAAGGTCTTTCAGAAGGTGAAAAGGACAGCCATTTGTTCTGAGGGCTCATCAGGCAACGAATCTAACTCAAGCAAAGCCTCAGAACGGGTGACGGGTCCCGGGTTCATCTCTACGTCCCCAGAGCACAGTAACAATAACATCATTGAGTAACATTCGCCAAGAGTTTCACACATGACCCGTGGGCACGGGAGCAGAAATAAAAAACGGTTGTCGTTTTTTTTAGCAAGGAATGGTATAGAACATTCTGTAACAACGTACTATTTGTGGCCAAAAATGCTACGCACGCAAAATCTTTATTAGACCAATTTTTCAAACAAATTGTAATTCCTTCTCTACGACACTTTGATATTATTTTCAAAATAACGCAAATTCCAGACGGCGATTTATTACTAACTTTGAGAATGATGCTGTTATCTTTCGAAACCCAAACCCTGAAATCCTTAGCCCTATAGAGCGGCGTCCTAAAAGAAATTACGTGATATCGCCAACCGTCACCATCCTCCTTTTTTTTTTCGAACGAGTACATAAATACCCGAGATCCAGCTACATTGACACACACTCATATTATAAGCGTTTGTTTAAAATGACTACCAAGTTACTTGCAACTCTCGAAGTCGACGACGATTTTGCGAATAATTTAACCAAAGAATTTCAAAATAAAATAACCAAAATCGTTTCAATTTTTCGAACGTCGATCGTTCCATTGATTGAGCTTTCCAAGGACGTTTCTGAAAAATACGAAGACTTAATGATAGCTGTAGATAATCACGTGTCGCACGACCTGGTCTATAAGCCTCGCGAAAAGATAGTTCCGGACGACGCTAGATTGGTAGTGGACGTGATGAATTGGTTCAAAACGAATATAGCTGGTGAGACTAGGAGAAGTAAAATGACAATCTGTACGGCAATAAAGCCTGTGTTTATTCTTTTTTTTGTCCGTAGAGAATGAGAATTGTGTCTCTGTTACCAAACGTGATCGGAATCCATCATCAAATTCGAATTACATATTCTATGAGTAAAACTGGTGGCGATGTAAATAAACTTTTAAATGAAGCCCAATTCTAGAACGTAACACTAGAACGTAGAATAGATGAAAACGCGGTTAAAAAAAACTCCTCTTCAAGATTTATTCGTTTCCAAAGATATAGCTCGGGCGTATGAACTGTTCTAACAGCAAGACAACCGTAAAAAATAGTGAATGTCAGCCGCATTTGAATAGGCTCTCCTACATCGAGGCTATGACGTGCCCATCACAAGTAAGTTGGGGGAAGGCGGTTTCGGCATCGTGTATGCTGCTGCACGTCTGGACGATGAATCCCGGACAAAAGCTCACCCATTTTTTAACAGACCCGTACAAAAGCTCACCAGGAGAAAATTTCACGTTGGTCTTATAGAGATACCAAGTTTAGAGAAATCAAGTTTAGAGAAAAAGGCGATGAGCCTCCTTTTAGCGAATTCGTCCACCGCAAAGCGGCGTGTACGGATAAGTCACGTGAGTTAACATTTTTGTAATGAGCCGCCGCGGACTGCCGTCGCGAAGCGGCGGGAGCGCAGCAGGGGTCTTGGGTTAGCGCGCGCACCAGTGATTCACGCGCGAAGTAGAAAAGCCTTTTTTTTTAAATAGCGTCTCCTTTTCGATAAACGGCATTTCTCTAAACTGAGGCTCTGCTTTCTCTAATTCGTGCTTCAATAAAACGTGCCTGTTCTCTAAAACGTGTTTCGACGAAATGGCATTCGATCAACCGTAGTAAACCCTTGCGTGGGATGGGGTACAAGATCACCTAAACATGTTGAAATTTCCATCGCATCCGCATTTGATTTCAGCCCGTGTTTCACCCGGGTAGTAAAAAAAAAATGAGGTGAGCTTTTGTTCGGGTCTGTGAAAAAACAGGTGACCTTTTGGCCGGTGAGCTTCTGTCCGGTTAGCTTTTGTCCGGTGAGCTTTTGTCCAGTTACCCTGAACGATAACAATCCGATAGCCGTGAAGCACATTTATTGTAAAGGCATGTGGAGGTAGCACACCGTTAAAAATCCTTCGTATAAGATACCGATGAAGATACACATAATGAATAGAGTGAAAGACATTGACGGTACAATTAAGTTAAACGATTGGTTTAAATTGATTGATTTGATTTGATTTGAATTGATTTCAGCCCGTTTACGTTTTGATCACAGAACGATCAATAAAGAGCATCTTTTTTATTTCTATTTGATGTCGAACGTTTCGAGCGAAAAAAAAGTCATTCACATATTCAAACGACTCTTCCAAATCATCCACGACTGTTCGGTGAGGTGCGCAACCGTCCATTGTGATTGAAAGGAAAATAACATCTTGATCAACAAAGAAACAATGTCCAGAAAACATCTCGAATTTCGATTTCGCCATCGATTGTTCGAAACGTGCTAGAAGAACGTACGCTGGGATACTATCGTATGCGCCACATGAATGGTATAAAATTGGTTTATATTATCCAGAATGTACTGTAGTATGGTCCTTGGCTGTGATATTACTCAAACTATTGTTCAAAGAAAGTCCGTTCAAGACAGTGGCGGATATTAAGAATTTCGAAAGCTTGGATCCCATTGCAATGTTTGAGACAAGAAAAGCCGAGTTCGCTACAAATGTCATTGTATTGTTAAGTTCCCTCATGAAAAAGAAAATGCAAGATAGGCCTGTTATAGCATAGTGTACAATTCCGCGCTGAGTCTTTGACACAACAGTGGGATGTAATAAATCTTGTCAAAATAAACAAACAAATCCCAAGTCAACTCTACGTTTTTTTTTTTCTCCACAAGCAAGGTACCCAGCAACAACTCTCTAAATGCTACCATGCAAAAAAAAGACACCTTGAAAACAATATTTCTCGGTTACTATGCGATTTCGGACATGTTCACTTGTGAGTAGAAATTCTGAGAATCATTCGGGTGAAGAGAAAGCGTCTGAGTAAAAAGGTTTTTCCTTAGCTGAGACCCAAAAAATAAGCCTCTTACTGGGCTCATCTTTTTCTCTAGATGCAGTGCATAGTAGGGGGCACGTCTATTGAAGGGGTGTGCATTAGAGATGGAGTGTTCGCTGCAACAAATAAAGAAAGGTTCGGTGAAACCAGTTAAAGAAACTCCTTGGAATAAACTGTAAAACGAATGGCTAATTTGTCAATTTAGTCAGTCTTCAATAAGTGGTTTTTCTTAGAAACGATTTCTTTCCACATACAATGTATACAACCGTGAAAGTCTCTAAGCCCCCCCACTTTATGGGGGCTTTATTTATTTTTTCTCTCTCTAAAGCTCAAAAATGAAGAAAAAAAAATACCCCGAGCGAGATGGTCGAGGATAAGCTCCCCTCCTAGTATACAGCGTTTGACAAGGTCACCCTGTGGCCCCGGAGGGGGAGATGGGTTCGAGGCCACGAGACGAACTGCTATCGCTATAAACACATTGAGCGAACACAGGATGTAAGTCAGAACGGAAAGGAGATAAACAAAACTAAGAAAGAAGTCACCTTGAACATGAGCAAAGCCAGTAGTAACCTCTCGAAGAGCGGATGGAAGGCATTGTGTGGAAAGAGTGTGTGTGTGTGTGTGGGGGGGGGGGGGGGGGGGGGGGGTAATTTATCTACTTGGCGGCAGCCGTTAACCCACCGTGGAGGAAGTGAGTGTGAGAGGGAACTGAGTGTGACTGTACTGCTCGACTAGGTGTATCTAGCGAGACCAGCCGGTCGGACTAGGGTGCCTACATGTTTCCGCTCCGCTTTAGGGTGGCGCCAACTTCTTGTTACCCTTTCCCAGATCCTCTCCCACCGCCATTTTGACCCACTTCTTATTTGGCTAAACGTACACAACGTTGAGTTTTCGTAGCTTCGACACACCGGCAACACTGTGAGGCCACTTCCGTTTCCGTTCATAACAGGAGTCGGACGAGTCGGAGGCTCAGCGGGATGACGGTCGGCGTGGCTGTCACTCTCTTTATTCGGGTGTTTCATACTTTGAAGTTGCGAGCAGGAAGTATGCGCTGCGTCTATCGAAACGTGAGTCCCCTCGACAAAATGGAACGCAACAGACCGGCATCGCACGCCAAAACCTCGCCGTCGGAACGAGAGCGGTGGGCGCTCCCTAGCCCTAACGAGGATTAGCGGAGTAGCGCGAGCGCACGACTGGCGAGTGTGACAAAATGGTCGACGAAACAGCGGAGGCTGCCATGGTAACGAGGTAGGCAACACTGGTTTGTCGGCAACAGGTATCACAAACGTTGTCGCCACCCTAAACAGCGGAGCGGCGGGAACATGTAGGCACCCTAGGTCGGACCATATACGGACGTTTCGGGTTGTGTTGAAATATCCTTCCGTTCTTTGCGCAAGCCAGGTCAGGAAACTCATTTGACTATACATATACGCTCCAATTTTATTCAATATCATTCGACGTCCTAAGGTCCCCAAGAAAGATCGCAAGCGCCGAAAGGGCACGAACGTCGATCCTACGATGCAAGACCCAGTGCCGTCGTCGTCGCTACCGCCACCGCAGCCAACTCGCGCTTCTTCAAGTCGACGACGTCGAAGGGTAAATAAGACTTTACCAATCGTCCTAGACGTGAACATCGTCAATGCCATGTTCAGGGCAAAGCGAGTTATCACCAGAAGCGCTAAACAACCGACGAGTACGCTACCGATTCACGAAGAATTGCCGGATGATTGGGACATGTTAACGTTCAAACTCGTGCTACCGGGGAGCGTCATCAAGAAGCTGATTCACTTGACGGTCTTCTACGCAGTACATGCCACCGAATCTGACGAGTTAATCAAACCTTATTTGCCATACCTGGAAGTGAAGGCTGTGAAGGACATTCAGGAGAAACCCGTTGCGCTAGATTTAATCACCCTGCTTAAGAAAACGATCGACGAGCTAAATACAAAAATACTACAGCCACTAACTAGAGAGTCTGACAGGAGTAAATTGTTCTACTATCGTTCCGGAACAGACATTGCCTCAAGAGCGCATACGACCCTACAACCGATCATACTAACCACATTTTCATACGAGCCGACTTGGAGTATGGGGTTCAACCTTTTTAACGGATACACGACTCCGTTGTATTATCCCTATCACTACACCGTTTCCAAGGGCCACGGCCAAACAATCGGCCGCAGAGCCCTACTGGAATACTTCCTCATTCCGGCGCTTACTTCGTACGAAGTTCGTAGCAACATTAGGGACGTACTCATCAAAACACCATCCGACCAACAAGACGCTATCGTCGAGCGAGTAATCAAAACGATTAAAGCGCTTTGCACCTTACCCGTATTCCAATGTGATGTAAACCTCTGGGAGAGTGTGGGTAAATTTGTAGAAAAGCAAAAGGATGATTTGGAAGCGATGAAAGAGCTGATTAGCCGGCTCTGTGCTCACCCTAACATCTGGGAGAACCCACAGGCGTACGCAACGGGAGTACAAACTGCAAATTCTCGTGTGCCACGAGAGACGCTGAGAGAGTTTCTAACAAACATTTTTTTTTCGCGTCAAAACACGGGTAACCAGCATGACACTTCCCTGTTAGAAGCGTCGTTCTTTTTTTACGTTACTTATAAAGTGATTAAGTTCAAAAAACCCATGGTCTGCACGTTCATAATCGAATGTACGAATGTGGACGTGCTCGCCGCGTTTTACATGCGCATGCGCGCTATATTGGACCCATACAACATGAAGTTGAACACCGCAGTTTCATTGTTCATGGTTAGACACAACATCGAAAGTATCACGGACGCAAACTTAGGCACAGTGAACGCTACTATGAAACGCGCACAGGCTGGAAAGCGCACAGCCATAGGGTTTTCCCACGTGAGTCGATACACGCCCCCAAATTCCAAAATTACAAGCCGTGGGAATAGGAAGATCTACATTTTCCATCTCACACACTCCTGTGAATCGAGTAAGGAGGATGCGTTTGCAAATCGATTTCTGAATCCACAAGCATTTGCCGACATGTTTAGCACGCTGCTAAGCATATACAGTGAAAAGAACATGGACATCACAAATTCGACAATACACGAGTGGTCTAATCGATACCTCAGTGAAGTCTTCGATTCGGTCCACATTTTCAACAAAATAATCCCATCGAGTTCTAACTTTCCTGCCACTTCGAACCCCCGACGACGCCGACACTCTGAAATGGACCAAGAAGATGTCGGCGACATGATCGAAGCGAAAATCCAACACATGACTGATTCGACGAATCCATGGGCCAACGGAGAAGAAGCGGTGGCGGCAGAAGATGCGCAATGGCTGAGTACTCTGGACAGCGCAGCATCTCCGTCGCGTCGTAAGTTTGTCTTAAAAAAAAATTAACCGCTTTTTGTTTAATCAAACTGTTTTTTTTTTTATTTACAGAGTACTTCACCCATACCACTACGGTTCCATCAGGTAAAGTTTTCTTTGTGTTTGCGTGTGCGTTTTTACTAACCGATTAACGCTTTTAAAATGCAGAATGCCCTGTCCCCAACGAGCGACAAGTCGTTGCCGAAGACAAAGGCGAAGGGGTGGAGAAATCTGTTCACGTGAGTGTTGACTACACAGTATACAATGGCAACGAAGGCGAGGCTGCGATAACCCAGATTAGACAAAACAACCACAAAGAGTGCGTAGAGGGATCGATACCCACCAATCCCAGAATGCCCCTAGTTGTGATATCCACTAGAATGCCCCTCGTTGTTACAAACTGCGAATATGATGAACATATTGATGTACAATTCGTGCGTAATGGGGAAGCGAGAGTGCATTGTGAACATGAGGGCGACCCGCAAGAGGCCAATGGCAGAAGCAATGGTGATGCGTAATTATCGAATGTGGAAGTGGACACTGTATATCCGCCAATGCAGCTTCAAGATGAACCAGCCTGGCGAACTCCCGTGACGCCAAAGGATGTATCCTAATCCACCCCACGCGGTAATGTGTGTTTTCAAATTTTTTTTTTCGCTGTGTGTAGTTTGTGACCTGACGTACTCGGACGAGGCCACATCGTTAAGGCACGTTCACACTCTTGCAACCGAGTACGACCGAGAGAGACCAGACCGGTTTTTAAGCCTCTTGCGATCTCTTAGGACCAGCTCCGCTCCACCGCATCTGGTCCTAAGAAGTCGCAAGAGGCTTAAAAACCTGTCTGGTCTCTCTCGGTCGTACTCGGTCGCAAGAGTGTGAACGGCGCTTTAGAAGAACAACTTCGACGACGCTGATTTGCGTAAGTTTATATTTTTTTAGATTATCTCTATATATGTATTTACAATTCCTTTGCAGGGACACCCAATCCAGTGATCGTCAAAGAACCCCGGTCTATTCATACATCAGCCGTGAAAAGGAGGAGCACACGTAATAATATATACAACAGCCCGCAGCAATTCCGAGGTATAAATTCAGATACTTACAATTTTGAACCATGATTATTGAAAATGATAATGAGAGCGAAAGCAAGAATGTCCCAAATTATATCTTGTGAATTATGGAGACAATCCTAGCGATAGTGACGAAGCATTTCCACAGTAATTTGTATACGCTGACATAACAACGGATCGATATCAGAGCACTCATTCTCGCGCGATAAACACGACACGAGAGACATTGACGAGTTATTGTATTCTGGATCGGATACTACTAGTGAAACGGTAGACAGTGATAAACCTTTATCTGACAGGGAAACGGACGACGAGAAACCACCTCCTTCCAAGAAAAGAAGAAGAATTATAAGCCCGGGGATTCACGAAGATGGTCAAGTTCCTGGACTTCAAGAACAAAAATGTGTGTCAAAGAAAAATTGCCTGATGTTATTGAACAATAAAAAAAAATTAAAATGTACGACTGGACTTCCTTGCAAATCGGCGAAAATTTCCCAAAAAGCCAACCAAAAGATTTTCGTCATTTAAAGATTCGTTTCTAAAATATTCAAGCAAGATTAGCTCACCTCATTTTTTAGAACTTCGCGTACAATGAAAGTACGAGGATCGTGAATCGCAAATTGCTTTAGAGCGCAATCGTCTTCGTAACTAATGGCAGATGGTGCAAAAAGAAATAATTGTCGCGTTGCAATGTCGACAGTATTCATAGCTTTTTATTGAATGAAAACAAATTGAAAGCTGAGTCGCAATTCTTTTTTTATTTTATAATTATGCAGCTTTAGGACGTTTTCGCGCATATCTATAGGCAACTGTTATTGCCACCAGTGACGCAACGGCTATACTACTGCCGATCATGTATTTCTTCTTTGAAGACGACGGTCTCGGTTTCGGTGATATGAACAAATATGTGACTTTATCTTCCAATTTATCCGCCGGTTTATGTCTTTTAATATTCTTAATATTTACGTAGAATACGTCAATTTCGTGGGTATTACCACTGCCATTGAGTGACAGCAATTTTTCCGCAGTTTAATAAAGCTTGCACTTGGGTTTGGCTAGTTGGTCGTACATTGATAGACGTGCTGCGCTGCAAACTCACGCATCAGGAAACTCATGCATTGAAAAGGAGAAAAAAGAAAAGAATAAACAGTTGTTAGTCTGCGCCCATTCGTGTTCATTGTGTTTCTCCTCATCTCAATGTAAACTCATCCTTTTCCTTTCAATTTTAGTCACGCGTTTGTTCTGTAGAACTTCGCAGCGCAGCACGTCTATCAAATATCCGCAGTATTTGATGGGTCTTCGAGCGACCAGATAAAAAGTGCGTTGAGACCTGCATATTCACCTTCGCCATATTTGGCATTCAATAGCACCTTACGCCACTTATAATATTTACGATATATTTCTGTTTTGTCTACGAACGTCATCAAGAGTACTAGATTTCGTCTAGGCATATCATCTAGTGAATGAGGTCTATACGCTAATTTTTTAACTAATGGTGAATTCCGCTCGCAGATCTCGAGCGCTCCAAAAGCGCTCCATTTGGAGCGCGCATATTCCGCTCGCAGATCTGGCTCAAGTTGGTCATCTTCCGCTCGTAGATCTTTGGCAGCGCCCGCTCCACGGAGCGCCCCAAACTCCGCCGAACTTGCTCTGCGGGTTTTCACGGATCTCTCCGGAAGCTGACAGATCGGCCCACGTGATTTCCGTCTAAATCGGCGGTGCGCATGCGCGGCGAGGTTGGAGAGATCGGCGGGCCGGTCGGGTTGTGGAGTTGGATCTGTTCGGGTGCGTCGGTTGTTTACTCTGGATTGTGACGGCTCGAACGCTTCTACCTCGCGTAGATCAGGGATAAAACGCCGGGAATGTGGAGCGTGGCAAATCGTAAGCGCTGACGTCTGTGATCGTGAGAGGAAGAACGAGAAAAAGAACGACAGAAAAGCCGGAGGCAGACGCCAGGTTAGGCCTATTCATTCTGCAGCCAGTGATTGTTTACCTTTTTACACTTCATTCCGTCGGCGTTTTCCCGTGAAATAAAGCAAGAAGTGGTTAGGCAACGACCGCGCAAGTGATGGTTTGTTACCTGTGTTTATTAAAGTCGTACTACAAATCTGAACTCCACCGCTGGCAATCGCTGCATGTCCGTGCCCCGCCGCTTCGAGGCGGCCGAAAGGTATGTGACGGTGCCGAACGCGGACGTCTTCGTTGTTTGTGACATGGGCGCCGCAGTACGTATAATTTCGCCCGGCCTGTGTCGCGTGTTACTTCTGCAGCTAAGCAGTGACAGTCGTCACTGGTCGTCGGAAAGATCAGCCGGCTGAGGCGTTGGTGGGCTTGTCAAGTTCGAGCAGCGGCCATTTTGTACGGCGGAGGGAGAAGGGGTGGGGAGGGGTGTGGGGGAGGTCGCTCCAAAAATGCAAGTTTATCTTCCCCTCGTCGATTCGGAGCGGGTCCCACGGAGCGGAATTTTGCCTCCCTCGCGGATTTTGGAAAGCGCTCCAGATCTACGAGTGGAATTCACCATAAGTTTTCCAATTGTCGCAATGCACTCATAATAGCGTCCGTATGTCTAAAGAGGATATTCCAGTCTCTATTCACGACTGCACTTTTGAGTTCGTCGACATGCTTGTCATCAAACCAGTATTGGCACATTCTCCAATCGTATTCAGCATACGGTGTTTATTCACTGTACAAATTAATACTATTTCATCAGGTCTTCGTAAATGGCATATTATTGAGGCATTACCACTTCAATCTTTGACTCGTACATTTGGCGCAACTTCGTTGCGGCGGGATGGAAAGCCGCCCACTATTTTCACCATCTTCAAATGTACTCACAGATAAAAAGAAGTATTTTTTATCATTTCCTTCACCGGCACCATATACTTGGTAAATTTCGCGTCGATAAACTTTTGAGCAGCAGCTATTTTAACCTTCCATTTTTTGTAGATTTGTCGCGTTTCGCAGGGTTCTCTACCATCCAATACATTACGTCCGAGTCTCATTTGTCGGACCAAAGCGAACGAAAACTTTTTTTCAAACCAGTAGAAAATATCGGATGGTTGAAAGACCGAGACTCGTGTTTTGCAATGTCTACACACCACCGTTTCAGATCATCGCGATCGTTCTAAACAGAATCTTTTAAAGTTCTCTTTTCTAAAGTATGCAGAGCTTCACCAAAACTTGTCCTTTCTAAAGAATATAGAGCGTTACCATAAATCATCTTATTATTTTTCAAGTACGTAGGGTTAAGCAGCTTTTTGAGATCAAATACTTTTCGTTCAACGTCGTTCAAGTCGTAAATATTTACGTTCAACCATTCCTCCGAAATATCTCGAATAGTCGGATTCTTCTGATCTTGTATTTGCAATTTCAGCGAGCTGTCATCACGAACGAGGTCGCGGGTTCGTATGGTAGTTAAAATTGCGCTTAATAGGTTACATTTCGTGTCGCTGTAATATCGGAAAAACACCGATTTTATCGCCGGAATTGCGACATCGCGTTTACTTTGGATGGCAAGCTCGGGTACTTTCGTTTTTCCAAAATAAGTATGTAACGGCAACGGTAAAACCGTTATTAATCAAATAATTTAGACCCGTCCTATCGCATAAAGTATTAAATACGCAATTTTTTTTTTTTTTTTGTCATCGTCCTTTTTGTAGTTGGTGTGCTCTACTCCGGCCCTCTCCTAAACGTCCGGGTAGTATAATTTAAAAGTCGCGTCTGCTCTGCATTCGACCACCTCGACGAAATTTTGCCGACCAGCCGAAAACGAGTTATAAAACGTTAAATTCATTTTTATTATCAATATTTAAGTACGCGAATAATGTCCACTCAAATTGCTTAATCCATGTCCTTCGGCACGGTGGTTTTACAGTTGCGATAAATAGAGAATACGACGGCTCGACGAGTGCTCGTGGTGAGGATTTTGCGAATTTCTTTCTGTAATTCTTCGTGCAAGTCCTTGGAGACTCGTACGACGCTACCTCGGAGACTTGGGCGTTTCAGTTCGTTTTTACAGGCATCGGTGGCAGGCCCTTTGTGCAGGCCAATAGCACACTCACGTCTTTACTTTAGGCGACTAGCTTCGGTTACTAGCATTGCGTGTGTGTGTGTTTTTTGTTTTGTTTTTTGTTATACGTTCTTAAGATTTATGCGTCAAGTACTTTTTTTTTTCTTATTTTTTTAGAGGCAGTTCTTCCCATAAATTCGAAAGAACGTCCTTAACTATTTGCCCGAACGATTTGTCGTCGTCACCACTGCCTAGTAAACTGACCGAGTTTTTAGATTCTCGCGGCGGGCATGGTACACATAATCGCGGAAATACGATGTATTACTCTCTTCTTCACTTTATCGTACGCGACGCTCAACCAATCGTCTACATCCCTGTCGCCTGACGTGTCTTTGAACGGGGTATATTTACGATCGAGCCAAGCGGTTCCGAGCAACAGTCGACTATTAGGGAGTTGTAGTAGATCGTTTTTCTCCTCCGCTACGGTATCCCCGAAGAAAACGCCGCAGCTGCGCATGCGCGCCGCCAGCCTTGTCTGCATAATTCTAGGTCTTGTGGTGGATTACGGAGCGCTATCCGGGTGCTTAGCGGGCTGCGGGAACGGTCTACCACAATTCCCTATTGTCAAACAACTCGTCGATCTCGTTCACGTCCTCTTGCGTCAAAGCAGCGTCGGCGGCTTTATAGCGTGCGAACATCTCTTCCTCTATAAAGGCATTTGGTGAAAACTTGCAGTCATCCAGCAAACGAAGAACGTGTGCGGCCGAAGAAATCTTTCGGTTACACTGTCGCTTCAACCATTCGTGACCTTCTTTACTCAGAAGAGATGTATTCAGGAAAATGCGGTGCGACATATTTTGTCATAACAACAACATTATTCCTTTGTCGTGTCAACTCGTCTCCGTCATCAAGGGTGCGACGGCGCTGCAGAACGTCACGTCACGCGATTTCGTGCAATTCATCTATCTGCTGGACCAGATTTACATCTACGTGCTAAAGAACGTCGGCAGCCATCTGTGCGTCAGCAACGTGGTAGATATATTTCATTTTGTCACCGACGGTAAGCACCGCGCCCACAAGCCCGTTTGTCTACACGTGGTCAAGGCACAGCCGTGGTATTGCGAAATTCTCTGCAAGTACCTTGACTATAGAACATACGAACGCAGCGAAGTGGTGTTGTGTTTTGTTATACCCACGTACATGCCCGTTTGAAAATCACATAACCTCATCCCGCAGAAAGAATGTTTTGCAAAACGATTAATATTTTAAATGTGAGTGCTACCAACACGTTAACTTTCTTCACGGCGTGCGTACGAAAATTAAGCTTAATGTTGCGTCTACATCCATTGTGCGTGCTAAAGGATAATATATGGCCGTGTTCCTTAGCCAACCTCCAAATACACGGGATGTTTATTCACATATTGCATCACAGAGACGTATATCACA